CCCCAAAACCCCAAAACCCCAAAACCCCAAAACCCCGGCATTCTAAAATAATTGATCATTTGAGTAAATGAGATATGCCTGTAAAATAAATAATAATATAAAGATGAAACACCAGCTTAAGAGAGACAAATAGTAGCAATATAGCGAATTTACATAGCAATAAACTCTTCCTTAGTTCAAAGCTAAAGGATATAACAAGTTTCTTGAAGAAAATGAATTTAGACAACAATAGCTTGTAAGTTTCAATTAGTTTTTATTTTAAAATAAAGAGTGAGGATGAAATACGAAGACACATGATAAAAGAAGATCTTGATGAGCTTCAAAGATGCAAAATTTTACTTAGAAAATCAGATCTAGTTTAATAATTATATGTAAGCATCTTATGAATTCATAAAGCATCTTAGGTATTAAGAAACAGTGTCAATATAATGAAGGATAATTAGCAAATTCAGTAAGAATTACTTCCATTAGTATTCGTAATCAAATTTCTGTGATAATTCTATCAAATTTAGAAACATATAGAAAAAGGAAATGAAGAAGTTTAAGTTGAAGGAGGTATTGCTATGAAGACTCTTTTAAAGCAAGATGTTATGATAGATAAAGACATGATCAGATAAACTTACGATTTAGCAGTGAAGCTACTAAAATAATGGAGTGAGGATACAATAAACTAATGGAAGAAGGTGTTTATTCTCACACTTTAAAAGATTAAAAATGAAGCTTTAAATATGCAAGCTTTACAATTAGTTATATAACTCCTTGAGAAAAATTAGCCAATAGCCACAAGAAAAGCTGCAACATTTCTAATGGGAAAGATATGCTTTGTATTAGAGTCTGAGTCGATTAGCTAGTCAATTATTAGTTAATGGCAGACTAAAATTCTGATAATTTGTTAAGATGTAAATTGGGAAATAAGAGCATAAACTGCCAAGGGCTTTAAATATATATTTTTGCAATGTTGTAATCAAAATTTAATCGAACCACAGCTAATAAAAGAGGTAAAAATTATAAATAGCCTATTTATTAATAAAAAAATATAGCTAGTTCGTGGAATTATTGGACGATGAAGAAGAGGAGGTCTAGTGCTGGGCATTAGAAAGTCTTAAACATGTTATGGACAAACTTAGTCCACCAATTTTGGAAAATCTAATTTTGCCCTAAATCCAAAAATTGTTACTCACTGAAAGACAGAAAATTATAGAAAAACTGACAGACGTCCTTGGTGAATACCTAGACAAAGTAAGAAAAATCATTAATTTAAACCTATAGTTATATGAGAGACAGTATAACGTATAAATACAAAGAGATTTTGCAGTATTTCTGAATAAATCACTGATGGATTTAGTTAAAAAAGAGAATGATAAAGAGCACAAAGATAATGTTTTCATGAGTTTCTGCTACAATCTACCTGCTTTTAGTCTATAAATTTCTGAGGAACTATTCCTACACTATCTCATACCTATTGTTATAAAGATCTAAGACTATTAAGAATCACTTTATAACTTGATAGTCTCCTTGCCATAAGTTATCCGAAATATGCAAAACGATGAAAGCAGATTTGAGCTATTAAAAATTCTGCATTAGAAACTTGATAAAGCTATAACAGATAAAGAAAGTATAGTGATTAATCTAATTGTAAAGGAAATAAGTGTGCTTTATGAGGACTATCAAAGTACAGAATTAAGATAACAATTTCCAGAATCATTTAGAATGTTTTCCTCAATTAAAAAATAGCTGGTATCTATCCAATCTCTTGTAGAGAAAGATTGGAGAAATTATGAGAACTATTTAAATTTCGTTAGAAAAATCATACAGTACATTGAACCTTAAAATTTCAATAAAAATTTTTTGCAAAACATTCTGAAAAACCTAAAAAAGTAAAACCTCCAGAATAAAAATCTAATAGCAGATCTGCTTATTCAAATTTTGACAAAGACCTCTAATAACAAATCAAGACAAGAGATTCATTAATTTATGAACTATGACTTATCTTAAGCTAAGTCCTCTCTTGACTGAGCATAATACATATACTTTTGCTAAAAGCTTTCTACTTAAATTTCTAAGAAATACTTCCTTGAGATATTCTTTGAAAATTACCTTAACTTGCTAGATGATAAATAAACAGCAGTCTAAGTCGCAATGGTGAAATCAATTAGAGATGTCAGATTGAAAATTGATGATGTTATTCACATTAATAAAATTGAGAATTATCTATGCTAAATTAAGCAAGATACTAGTAAAAAAGGATTTATTAGAGAGATGGCTGAAAATGCTTACTAGGAAATAATTTCTTAAGAATATCGTCAACTTTTATAATCATAACTGAGGAAAAAAGCAGAACTAAATCTTGCAGCACAAGAAATCGCTCTGTATTAAAAAGAAAAGGAAGAAATTGAATAGGAAAAGAAAAGAGATATTGACAAGATTATGAGATAAGCGAAGGATGCCTACTTTAGCAAAGTAAATCAATCCTTCACATTTGCTAAACAATAGGGATTATCAATGTCTAATTAATCAGCTAGATAAGGCACAGGAAGTTTAATTACCTAGGCAAACGATTTCATGTATAAGAGAAAAGCTAATAATGCATAGCAAATTAGAAATGTTTATCAAGATCTCCCTAAACCCTAGACCTAGACACTTTCATAGCCAATCATTTGAAAAAGATCCTCTGGTCCAATTGCATTAGGAATTTAACAAAATAACCCAATAAAAGCTACTTTTTTATCATAAAAAGAGGAAAACAAAAGGGATATGTCAATTGAAAATGTTAGTAACTATAGTAACCCTGGAAATTAAAGTGCACTTAATACTCTTTTGCCTCCTATCTATAGAAATAACTGGGAAAATTCAAGTACAAATAGTGGATGCTATAATAACGGAGGAGATGGTTCAACTAAGAGTGGGACATCAAGAAACGTCTCAAAAAACGGAAACGCCACTATCTATGGCCTTGAAAATTACTCATAAACAAGTGCCTCATCAAGCAATGCAAAAAATTTGATGTTGCCCATTCATCCAAACACGATTAAAAATAGAAATAATAGGAAAATTGACATGATTTCAACCTAAAAAAGTACAAATTTCAAGAATATAGCTATATCACCACTTTTAAATCCGAAGAAATATGAAGTAAAAAAGTTTTGAACGATGATGCTTATTGATTTGAAAAAAATATCAATTTAAGGAGAGCAATAATGACTCTCATTGCATTAACTATAGAATATTAACCGTGACAAAATATTAACTTAATAGGAATGTTATACTTCAATTAAAGATTAAAATGCATTATATATATATCTGTCTGTTATTAATATTCAATATGTGTATATCCATTTTATTCTCACTATTATTACTATTAACTCTTCTTATCAAATAAACTTTTCCAGATTTTGACGTTTATTTAATCTCTTTCCTCTTCTTAAACAAGAGTATCTTTATTGGATTACAATGTATTCTGAGTATTATAATTTCTTGAAGTCAAGAAATTTTTCTCCTTCACTGATCTACAGAGCATTAGCTTTTTACTAGGATCGATACCTTTAATATTCTTTGCTTTTACTGAGTCTCTTATTTCCAATTTTTATTTTTCTTCTGACTGCGGAACTGGAGACACATCTCTAGGTTATTATATATCAGCTTTCAACATAGAGAGGGGAACTAGCTATGGCTAAGATCTGTTCTTTTACAGCTTACTCTAAACTTGCTACTCAACTGGTCCAGCCTAATTTCTCAAATTCTTTGGTGGGAAAAAGTATTTTTCTTTTATTAGTTGAACGTTTCCTTTTACTGAAGAAGTTAATATATTGCTTTCAATGAAGAATTACTTGATGGGCTCAAAAAGATCTTTTTGCAGATCAAATTCATTATGAGTCATCCTTTTTGGCATTATTAATTTTGATGGCCCTCCACAATTTATATGTAAATGCTAAGAGTGCGAAAAAGGTATAAGTTAATCACTCTAACCATGAACAATGAGAGTAGGGCAGCTGACTTTCTTAATTACTTCAATGTTCTTAAATCTTTCGCGGACTATCATAGATGGTATTGTACCTAGAAGCGATTTGACTGCATCTTTCAAAGATGTATAAGGCGAGAGTAAGATTAGAGCTGCTGGCTTAGACACTGATGATAATTAGCATGCTGGGCCTGATCCCATTGATCTTCCAAATAAGATGATATCCTTTGGATCAAATTTTAAACTCTAGGTTACATAATCAAATATTATCTAGGAATTCAGTAATATTGTCTCAGAGTCTGGCTCTTCGTTTCTATATATTCCATATCCAGGATATTCAACTGAAAGTATATTTAACTATAGTTGGATTTTAATATCAATAGAAAAGATTTGATTGGGTTAGACCATAATTTCATAATAATTGTAAGAGTCTGTTCTTAAATTATGCACTTATTTGCAAAAGTCTTATACTTACATGAAATTTTTAGCCTACTTAGTAAAGGAACTCATATGAGTGGCCCACATCCTCTGCATTTCCGTGAAAGTACACTAGTAGCTTATGCATTCTATAGGCCTTCATTTGTTTATCCTTATCTTTGTGCAAGCATTATGGTGCTTCACCACTTCTTCTTGGTTTGTATGGAATAAAAAGGCAAGGTATATAACTTATAGTTGTCTTTGAATTTTTAGTAACTGACTTAGGTACATATATCATTTCATTCAAGAATGTTAAGTATGAGTAAGAATTCTTGGGGGCTGGGAAAAATAAAGAATTGAAGTTCATTCGTGTAATTGCAGATTAAAATGTTAAGTGATAGAATTCAGTCAAAATTATTTGTATTTCCTGTTTTTATTAATATTATTTAACGAATTTAAATATAATATATGATATTATTATACTAGGAAGTTGTCTGAGAGGAACAAAAGAGTGTCTTTAAGTCATGAAATTAATTTAAAAACTTAACAATAAATAGAGACTTTAATCATTTGACCCAACTTCGTTGCTTTTAATGAGACATATCATAAATTGAGTACTCATAAGTTCTTTTTACTTCTCACCACAATAATTCTGTTTGACTGCACTTCCTCTGGAGGCTCTACATGGTTATGACTCTCCATAAGGAATTGCGTTAGTTTCATTGACTATGATATAATAATGAAAATTAATGAATCTTACGATGTCCATTTTGCCCTTGGGAATAGGTTTGAATCCTCCACTATGATGAGCATTATTAGCTGATTCATTTTTATTGACATACTTAATTTAGTTCTTTGATGGGCTATTTCTAATACTTTCACTGATACTATTCTTTGATCTTTTCGACATGGAATCGTTAAAATGATTCCTTGTTATGTTTAGTGCATTAATTCCAGCTGAACCTAACGGCTTAATATCATCTACCTTGTTCAAGGCATAGTATGATCTATCTACTGAATTTGATTCACGCTTTTTGCTCTCTATAAATTGTACTTTTTTCAATGAAGAATCTCTGTTCAGAGTTGGCTGCTGCTCCAAGATGGGATCATTTTCTGCAGATTCTTAAGAAGGCTAATGCTGTAATTTTATTTAGCTCTCTTTGAAACTGGAAGCATTTTAGTTGCTTTCTACTATAGTTGATTTCTTTTTATCCTGGTATGCAAGCTAGAAAATATAATTTATCATTATAAATTTACCTGGCACAGTTTCAATGTCTTAACACAGAAATTATAGAAAATCAAAGTCATTGTATTTTTGATTTTGCTAGGGTTCATCTTGAGATACTTATTCACATTTGAAATCAATACTAAAATAGTGTCACTGAGACATCAGCTTTACATTTTCTGAAAGTGCATTAAAGAATTCTATCCAATAGCTGTTTCATGTAGTAATTTAAGCTGCTCTAACTAAGATACTTCCTGATTGATTCCCATTCTTTATTCTGAAGCGAATTAGTTATTTTATGAATTTACAAGGAGATTAGATCTGTCATTAGTTAACTGAATATTAGAATCAGCAACTGACATTAGGAGAACAAAGGCTCCTCCTACGTTGAAGTCTTCACTTTAAGGATTAGGAATATTTCTAAAACTCTATTGATATATTTAATGAGAGGAGATTCATATTTACATCAATGATAAAAGCATTAAGCTCTTCTTAAGCGATTTCATATTCTTCTATAGCCTCATTGAATCTTCTCTTTGAAACTTAAACTTATTCAGTTATCTGATTGACCTTAATAGTCAGAGGTACATCTGTGTACTTATTTCTTGTAGTAAATTGGTCTTGAAGAGTAGCACTGATCTTTTATGTCACGCTATCGTTTTGAGGTACAGATGATACCTTTTGATTATAAGTAATCCTCTAATCTCTAGATCTAGGTGAGTTGTAAATAGTATTATTAGCGCTCTATAATTTGATAAAAGCATAAACTTTCTTACATTAAAATCAAGTTTGCTTTACTTTTAATAACCATGATTTACTGAACTCTAGTTTTCTTCAATTCGTTTTTTTTATTCCTATTCGAATGCTTATCTAGATTTTATTTTTTCATGTCTTCTGCTCTGAGCTCTTCTTTATGTGAATTGTGGAAAATGATCTCGACTAACCTTCTTATGCTATTATTTGTACTTAGTGGGAGACTATTGATCGTAATGTCTGATGAAGTATTAGAGATCTCTCATGAAATCTGTTTTATTGTATTCATTGTTTATAAACTAAGAGATTATTCCAATCAGATTAATATCTTTCTCAGTAAGGATACCGAGAGTTTCAAGACCTGCGATGGGTTTGACAATAGATTTTGACTTTTCATTTTCTTACTAGCTTTTCCAATGATTAAATAGAGTTGAGCTTTGACTCTTGACTTAATACTCAAATTTGTCATTCGAGTTTTGCTCCATCTATATCTTCACATCGATAATAGAACCTACTCTATTTAGGTTCTCTTAGCTAGGATCATTTTAATAGGGATTGTCCTCTTAGTAATTTCCAGGATCTCTGCTACTTTTTATTCTGCTGTGCTATCTACGGCTTGCACTTTAAGATCGACTCTACTCTCTTTCAATTGATTAATCTTTATCGCTAATGAGATCTGCTTATCGCACTTATACTTTAATTCTCTCTTCATTGATTTCTTCCTCATCATCACTGATGGGGCTCTGGAGATTAACATCTATTTTATTTTCATTATTTTCCTATCCTTCTTAATCTTAAGCAATTGATCCAATCTTAATTAATCTGGAAGCTTCGTATTATTGTGAAATCAAATAGTCTAGAATTTATTGTTCCTTTTGCTTTAATTCTTCCGATTCAGTCTCTTACCTTGTAATGTCTTTGTATTGCTAGAATTATTTATGAAAATCATCATCTTGAACTTCAGATTCAGTATTAATCATCATTAATGGAGTTCTGTTATCAATGGATCTGTCTCTAATGTTCTAGGGAACCGAATTAAATCTGCCTTCAATGACACTAATTGGTCTTGGCTATGGATTATCATCATCATAATTAGTAGTCATAATAGGAGAGCCCATTTCATTGAATGACATTTCCATTGCTAGCTAGTTCATACCATTCTGGTTCTAATTATTAGCTTGTCTTTCAATCCTACTCATTTGCATCGATCCTATTTCATCATTATTCTATAGGTATTTGATCAGTTCATCCTGTTAATTTATGTTGATGGATTAATCAGTTGCATTGATTCTTGAGCTTTCATCATTATTCCCTCTGAGATGTTTTGGGAGAGTCGATTTCATTGAACTAGAAATAATCAGAGATCGGTTGCTCTTTGGTGTTGGCGGTAATATTGAAGATTTGCTTATCCCTTTATCTTTTTCAGAATATTTATCATACTTTCTTAAACTCCTGTTATTACCAGTATTAGATCCACTTATCTTGTTTAGCTTGTCTTATTTCTAAAAAGCTCTTAATTTTGAGAAAGCTATCTGATTTGTTGTAGGGGCTGCTGATTACGAATTTTCTGACGAGTGAACACCGCTGCTTTATATGCTATTTTTGCCTGTTGCAGCTTTGCCTTGCTTTCTAATTGCTGATAAATCTATTATTTCATTTTTAGAAGCATTAGTCGTATTGACACTCTGCATTTTATTCGATACTGAGAGGTCAATATTTTTCATATAGACTTTGGAAGCAGTTTAGGAATTCCGTTTTTTAGATATTGAATCCATGTTAAAATTTTATAATAAAATTCTTTGAATATTTTAACTAACTGTTAAATTTGATCTTGCAAAAACCTTTGGCTCAAAAATTCTATTGGGGTTTTGGGGTTTTGGGG